GCTGTCAATGGAGAAAACACCACCTGTCGAAAATTTCCTGTGATTTCTCCAGCTGAAGGTAACTTTCTTTTTAAAAGGTCCAGCGGCGATGGTTCTCAATTCTGGCTAAACGTTATAATCTTGGGGAGAAATTTAAAAATCTCAGTGCCCAGGTGATATCCCAAATCAACTCAACTTGGATCCCTGGGAGACAGAGTCTAGCATCATCTCTGTTAGTGGTTCCAATGCATGGCTAATTTCTAGAGTAATTTCTAATAAGCTTGCTCATTTATTAATTATCACGGTGGTTTATCTCCATGTGTATTGTAAGTTTTTGAAGCGGGGAACGGGTGTGGCGTCTCATACCTAGTTTGGCACTTCGTGCGAGGCTGCTGATAGAATGAGTTAGAGTTAAGATTCATTTTTGTCATAAAATTTAAAATAGCCCTATACATTTTTTAAATATTGAATTTATTGGGGTCACCGATAAATTAAATATATAGTTAAATATATTTATTTAAAATAAACATTTTATTTTAAATAAATATTTGTTTATTTAAAATAATAAATAAATATTTGTTTATTTATTTAAAATATAAATAAATAAATAAATAAATAAATAAACAACTATTTCTCCTTTTGTCCTAACAGAGGTCTGTTTTTCCCTCAAATCTGTTAAAACTTCTCCCAAAGCAAAATAAACGGTGCATGAAATAAACCGTTCTGGGTCAAGCATCTGATTAAACCCCTGGTAACTTTCACTTTCAGACTTTACAGTTCTTTAATTATTTGAGCACTGTGCTTTACCACCTGCCTACAAATCTCTAACCACAATATATAACACAGGTACAGAAAAGTCCTCTGACCCGAGGTGGGGTTTTTCCCTGACTCCCCCCGCCCCCCTTATAAATCACAAAAGAATAGGGAGAAGCTAGATCTCAGCTCCTGCTGGGAACAAAGCTTTAAGCAGGGAGGCTCGCTGGTTTTCTGTAGAACCTACAGACCCCAAAGAGATACAGTCTTGTCATTGTAGTAGGTGATTTTAAAGTATCAGGTTTAAAAACTGGCCCTGTATCTCCTCCCACAATCTTCTTGTCCAGCAAGGAGCCTGCACTGGAAGGAAAGGGCAGGGCAGAAGGACGCGTTCCCAGGAGCAGGATGGCTGCTTTATGCCAGAGAACCTCGGTGACACTTAGAACCTTGCCGAGGTTCGGTCTCACAGTTGCCACTATTCTCAGGACATCAAACAGTCTCGGACTCTGTCATAGTTCTATACTTCAAAGAGGAAACTGCTTGTGTGTGGTGTCTTTCGGAAACTGCCTCTTCCTCAGAGTCACTAGGACCAGGCTCCGTAGGTGTGAGTTCCGTGTGTGATGCCTGTGCACATTTTAATCATTGTCAACTTCAGCTATGGGGTGACTCCTCCACACTGGCAGATTTTCATCTTTAAGGGGTGGGGCTCTATGATCATGTTTATCATCATGTGTGCCATACACGGCATCTTATCCAGGGCCTCTCGTGCACCAGGGTTCAGGACAAAGGTATATGTGCAGGTAGGCTTCTGCTCCCACTTCTGTATTGTGTCCTGGAGGGTCGTGCTGGGGCCAGAGTGCAGTGCAGGAATGCTGCCCTCCTGCTCTTTTACCTTTTACAGGAGAAAGCAGCCACTTCAGTGGTTGGACTGACTGGCAACAGGAAGACTGTCTCATATGGTCATCAGCTGTTCCCAGCGAGCATTTTAAAACACCAGCTGTCAAACACCTGGAGGTTTGGGGCCCTGAGAAATGTCGGAGTGGATAGAGGCCTGAATTCTTCTGGAAAAAGAGGGTTGCACACAGGGCTCCTTCCACTGGGAAGCTGGGAGGGAGTGAGGCACCAAACCCACCTGGTCCATACTCCAGCAGGACTTAGAAAATTTCGTTCATTGCACATGTAATGTTTGATGGGAGCCAGGAGCTGGGATAGACTTTTTGCAAAGTTTATCTCATTTATCCTCGTGACCACCCTATACCACAGAAAGTATTTCAATTCTCCTTTTTCCAATTACAGACACTGACATACGACAAGATTATTTAACCCCGCCGTGGTGACCTAGTAAGTAGTAGAGCAGGGTTTTTTAGACAGATTTTCTAAGCATTGTAGGTACGTATGTACACATGGTCAATGGACAAAGCTCATTTACAAAACATTGACCAAATTCACTTATTTTTACTATGATAATCAATTACTGTTAGCCTTATAAAAATGTTACAAAAAGCAATAGACACATTGGATTGATGTGAGATTAAGGAGCATTGCTGGCTATGAGGTCAAAATTCATCCCCAATCAAATGAGGAGCTGGTAACACCTAAAGAGCTCAAATTAATTTCCTCCTCTGTTTCATATGAACAAGCGCCAGGAGGCAGCCTGGAAAAGGCTAGGGATGGATCCAGGTGACTGAGGAAGGCTAGGGATGGATCCAGGTGACTGAGGAAGGCTAGGGATGGATCCAGGTAAAGTTATGAATTGGTGGCTTGTCATCAGTTTCAAGTTCTTCCCAAGAGCTTCTAAATTCTCAGCCTGAGTGACTACAAAGCAGCCCCTTAACCTCTCACTAGGAGACTTGACCAAACTCCAGAGTGGCTTCTATTGCCAAAGCCCATCTCCTTGGAATGGCACCAGGCCCTACTAAAACCTGTCCTGAGAAAATGTAACATTGGGGAAAGAATTTACTATTTGTTCCAGCCAAAATATGATAAAATCCAGCTCCCTCTGCCCCTCCAATCATACTTTCTCTAGGGTAGTTAGTTTAAGAATTGCAGTTATAGATTCTTTCTGTCTCCTTTGAGATGTAGAGCTTGCGCTATCCAGAATTATCTCCTCCTCTTTGAAATGCACACTTGCAGAGATAGCTCTCTGGCCTCCCAGTTCCTGGGAAAGGGTAGGAGACCAGCTCCCTCCCGTCCTAAGGTGATAAAAGCTTGGTTTCTCCATCAGCTAAGTGCCAATCAATATTCCCTCATCACTCTGAGCAAACCCCCTTAGCATCTTTCTCTAGCATACCCCAGCTTTTAAAATGCCTCCCACATGTTTTCTCCTGTGGAGTTGAGCTCACTTCCCACGGAGTCCTCTCCCCTTCCTGGAGTCATCTGAATAAAATCTGTCTTCCCGGCCTTTCATAAGCATCCAGCTTTGCTTCTCTGGCATTCATGCCATGATGCCCAGTATCGACTTGTCATCCCCAGAAGCGTCCTTGCACCTGAAAGTTACCTAAAAATGCCCTTAAAATTTATTGACATTTCCTAGTGCTTTACTAGCACTGCACATACTTCTCAAAAATCAATTTACATGTGAATTATTCAGGGATCTTGTTAAAACTGTGACTGTTGCCAGAATGTGCAGGGTAGGGCTCAGGATGCTGTACTTCTGCCACCTCGCAGGTGACACTGATGCTGCAGGTGCATTCACCTACTCTCAGCAGCGAGGCACAGGAGCACACTATGTGACAGGGATCACGAGACTTCTTGGTCATTGTTTAAGGATCAACTGACTGAAGACCTCCCTGCTCATGCTACTTAAATGAGCAAATGCTCCCTAATTCTTACTCTTGATACTCCCTTCTCTCCATTGGTTCCCTCCAAAGATATTTTTTTCACCCTCTGCACCATCTTATCTATCTATCTATCTATCTATCTATCTATCTATCTATCTATCTATCTATCTATCATCTATCTATCATCTATCTATTTATTATGTATTTCTTTCTAGGATATAAGCTTCAGGAAGGCACTTGTTCCCTTGTGTTCACAGCCACATTTACATCAGCTAGAACATTTCCACACCATAGGTGCTCGAAGAATGAATTTAATGAATTAATGGGTCATCTAAATTATACATAGAACTGATAATGCCTTAGTGAGCTTGAACCTCTAAGGTAATCCATATAACAAAAATAACAGACACAAATGAAACACCATGGAGTGAATAAATGCATAAATTCCAAGCCCCCCAGGAGAAATGTCATGGATAAAAGGACCAGTGGACACTCTCTAGACATCAGCATCCAGGAGGCTCTTCTGGCTGCTTGAAGAACCAGCTACTGTTACTGGGCCATCTGCAAGGCTGATTGGTGAATTATTGCAAAATAAGGCTCATCTTCCTTCTACTCTTCGGTCATTTTTTAAAATTTATTTTTAGAGAGGGGGATGGTAGGGAGATGGAAAGGGAGAGAAACATCGATGTGAGAGAGAAACATCCATTGGTGGCCTCTTGTTTGGGCCCTGACCAAAGACTGAGCTGGCGGCCTTTCACTCTGTGGGACAATGGCCAACCAAACGAGCCACACCGGTCAGGGCTCCTGGGTCATTTTCAATTACCTGCATTTCAAATTTTATGAAGCAGATGATGGGAAACCTGTAGGAAATAGAGTCCAGTGAAACATTTTTAAGTTAATTTGATCATTTTTCTCTCTGCTGCCTCTTCTTATGCACTTTTCTTATCCCGAATGCCAAGTCCTTCTGTGATAAGAAGCACTGTAATATGAACATTGGAGTGACTGCAGCAGTGAGACAATGACAGTGCAGCACAGGTCCCCGTTCACACTGGCATCGGGACAATGGTTCTTGGCCCTTTCAATGCCCTCTTTAAAAAAAAAATTATTGATTTATTTTTAGAAAGAGAGGAAGAGAGGGAAAAAGAGAGGGAGAGAAATATTAATGTGTGGTTGCCTCTTGCATGCCCCCTATTGGGGACCTGGCCCACAACCCAGGCATGTGCTCTGACTGGGAATCAAACTCGTGACTTTTTGGTTCATAGGCCGGCACTCAATCCACTGAGCTACACCAGCTAAGGCTCAATGCCCTCTTCTGATACATCATATTTTACACTAGCCCCATTACTCTCCTGAAATGAATCATTGATGGAATAACATCTCTTTAAATTAATACCTATAATGTCTTATATATTATATGAATGAGACTTAACAGGAAGGTATTTATAGTAAAATAATAAAAATTAATGTATAAATACTAGTACACGATACTATCAGAAATTTTTTTAATTTTTATTTTCTCCATACAAACTCACAATCCAGAGGGATTGGTACCTGCTGGCGGAAACTCTTTACATAAAGAATTCTGCTACTGCAAGTACATGAGAAGATACATATCTTTGATGGCATGAGTGTACATGGTCGTAGTTGAGTTTGGACGTTTTTTAGGTTCTGGAAAACAAGGACAATGACAGCCCCATGTACAGAGAGCTTTGGGAGCTGCAAAAGCCCCCTGGCTCTGTGCCTGCCCTGAACACCCTCAGATTCCCCTCCTGCAGAGCCTTCTTTGTCTGTGGGTAGGTTTGCTTCACTCTACTTTGACTAGCTGACTCTGGTTGTTCCTTATTTCTGAATAGGCCATATTTTCCAGCCTTTTCACAATCTTAGTTGAATCTATATTTTCCCCTTTCCGAAATAGTCACTTTTTTTTTAAGTGAAGTGCCCAGGATTTACACTGGTGCTATTGTTAATATCGTGTAGGTCAGAAAGGGAAGATTAGCTCTAAAAATGTCTTGATGCTTTTCAAAAACTTTCCTCCTTCCCAACATTCCCTATAATTCTAGTATGTTGAAAATGAATGTTTATAACCTACAGCTTCCTCCTTTATCTTTCCATTTCCATTGACATTATAAACCAATTCCACCTCATTTTTTAATTCGCTACTAATGAAAAATTTGTGGTTTCATTTGGAATGCATGTCTTTGCTTCAGGCACACATTCTTAGCTCCACTATAAGCAAAATTACAGGATCATCTGAGAGGATTCGTCACAGCAAACAAGGAGATTATTAAGTACATTGTTAAAAAAGGTCCATAAGAAACATCTTTAGAGACTGATGGATCTATGAACATGTCAGAAGGAAAGTAAGGAGCATGGGATACTAAGCGATGACAAAAAAACCAGCCCCTCCATAATAAAGCGAATTCTAGGTCACATTTTCTAAAGGTGAATCTTCATAAACTCTTCTGTGTCAGAGTCCCCTTTGTTCATCAGAACTAGCACTGTGATGCTCTTCACTGTCTAAATGAATATGGAAGCCCTTTCAGAGACCCATTTGCTCTCCTCCACTGTCACGTTCCCTTTTTACATGCACTGTTCCTGAATTGTTTTCCAACAGGCGTTGTCAGCAAAGTTACCTTTCTTATGAATTCCAGGGTCCATGGCTCCTGTGGACGCCACAACAGTTCCTGGTGCAGTGAGGAGGTAGAAGTGTTGAGTTGTGTTGATGTATAAAGATAAGATTAGAAGTGTTTAAGAACTGAGATGTGACATGACTTTGTTTTGTCTGGTGGCTAATCTCCCTAATTTTTCTGGCTCTCCGATATAAAATAAGAAAATAAAACCACTTTTCAAAATTTCCAAGTTCCTGGTTTCTTTGTGTAACATAAGTCTGGGGATGCTTCCTAATTTGGGGAGGCTGTAACATGGTTAGAAATGTCACAACTCTTCTTGCAAGAAACCTTGCCTTTTTCTTCCATCAAAGAAGCATGTGCCTTGAGAAGTATGTTTTGCTGAGGTACGGGCAGGAATTACTTTAGACTGGCCAAAAATAGCATTTCTTCACAGACAGAAAGACAGAAGGTGATGTCAAGTAAATAATCATCCACTTGAAAAGAACTATGCGAAAGAACCCCAAATCATAAGTGTTAATAAAAACAGGTTATGAAAAGCTTTACAGTTATTAGATCTTCCTAGGTAAGTATTACAGAACTTTAGCATGTTAAGAGTTTGAGTTGGGAAGCTGTACATGTCTAAAGGCTCATGAACACGTCCAGGAGACCTTCAGAGATAATCATGAGCCACATGTAAAAAGAAAGACCCACATTTTGTTTGATTGCAAACAGTGATGACAAACTAGATTATGAATTAAGAAAACAGGGCTTCCAATGAGTTTTAGTGAACTCCCAAATGAGATTTGCTGTTACGAAGTAGAGATAAACCATGGTTGAGAATACTCAGTTCAGCCCGCTGCAGGCCCTACAGGCTGTTCTGAACTGGGTGGTCGAGCAGATTTCGGTTCATGCATGTGCCATGCAATTGTTTCCCATCCTTGTATTCAATGATACCACAGAAATGTCTGAGATTGGACAACCATATGCTAAGGAATTACAGGAAATAGAATTTTAAAAACCTCAACTTGTACTATATAGAACAAAACACAGGACTAATTGGGAAACTCATGTTCTATTTGAATTCCTGTCTTTCCACAGTTACATATGGAATATCTATAGTTAATTTTATGATTATCAAGTATGAGCCATCCTGGAAACTTCATGATGTTCAGATAGAAAGACAGAGTCAAATCTGTACTGATTATATTAATAAAATAAAATATTCATGATTTTAGTTTAATTTTGTTGAATTTATTAATAATCTTTATATATTTATATATGTATGGCTTTGAGCAAAGACAAAAGAAATTCTCTAACTCATCCCTGATCATACAATTGTTGTAAGAAGCTAGTCTACTATTTTCCCAGCAGCAGAAGGACCAATCTCTTCAATAATACATTTCTTTCTGTACAGATTAAAACTCCATACCCATGAGTTTAGCTATGTACAGAGAAAAAAGGTCACTTTTCAACTAGCAATTGACTTTCATATTACAGGAATGTGAGTCAATTTTTTCTTAACCTAAGAATATATTATACATATATATGTATATGATTTACCCTGTACCACTTCATGAGTTTAACATATAAACCATAGCTTTTTGACCATTCTATTACAAAAGGAATACAAATTTTATGGTTGGACTGAAAGACCATGCAATTCAATTCAATTCTGCTTATGTTTCTCAATAGTCCTTGAAATAAAAAACCAAAAATTTATATATCATATAAAAATATTTCACTACCCAACCCATTAGTCCTATCAAATGTAAACCTTTAATAATTTAAAGGATCAATACATGATCATAATAAATTGAAGTTAAATCTCAATCTCTTAATAAAATAAAGGATTTTGTACTGATATGTAAATGGTCTTACAGTTTTCCCATAGGTTCTAGGCAGACTGAACAAGCTCCTGCTTACCCCATCATCCCTGACACGCCCTCCTGTGTTACCACACGATCACCAAGACATCACACGGACTAGCTCTGCTGATCCACTCAAGCTGGGATCTGGTAGAAATTAAACATAACAACTCATTTTGGTATTATAGGTGATATTTTCCCCATAAAAGGCATAACAGGCAGCATGGATCCACTTTAGAGTTTTTGCTTTTGCTTTGGGGTTCTGTCCTCAAGTCTATCTGGGAGGCCCTCCCCACGCCATGAGCGATCTTGTTTAAGTTCTTCGTAAGTCTATCGCCAGTGCCAGAAAGACCGAAACCTCCACTTCAGGTCCTTCTCCCAACTTGGGTTATTTACAGAAGTCGGTTATTAGGAATCTTCCAATTGTGTTCCAGTCACCCCCCACATTCGTGGGATGCATCAGGCACAGATCATTACTAAGGGACTCCTTTCAGAAGAAGAAGAAGCTCCCAGATCATGGAAAGAGTTAAGGAAACAGACAAATAAACACACAAACAGTGATCACATTCAGTTCGACCTTGCTTTCCTTCACCACTGCTATGCTTTTCTCAGCCCATTTAAAGTGCCAAACCCTGTCTCAGGGCTACATTATCACCACAGGCCTTACGATGTCCTAACCACTCAGTTACAATATACACAGAGCAAAATGTGTGTTCTCAAACAGACAAGATGCTGTGTTTATTTCTTTAAATCAACACCATGGTAAACTTCCAACTACAGTGAAGACAGAACACACTGGCAACTCCAAATCAAGCTGTGGTTTACAAATCATTATTTAAACAATAATAACAATAATAGTAATAATATTAAATGAAAGTGAAAACCTCACTTCTAGACTTAAGTCAGAGATCCAAGTCAGCCTTATAGGGATTTTAAGATAGGCAATTAATGAAATTGTTATACTTTTCTAGAAACGAGAAATGCTATAAGCCTTTCCCTACAATGACTGCTTTGAACCTATTTTTTTTCTCCCAAAAGCATGCAGGGACTATTTTCAGATGCTTGATTATGGAAAGAAGGAAGAAAAGTAATGGTTTTTGGTGTAATACAAGCAATTTGTAGAATCGAGCATACAATTTTGCATAAAACATTGCAGGTTAAAATAACATTGTAGGTTTCAAGCCATTGCATTACATTTGAATAATCGTCACAATTAGGTTTTGTAAAATTTAAAACTCTAAGTTTTGAAGTGAAGCAATAAAACTAAATTCTTAGACAATGACTTTGACCTTCACACAGCACAGAGTAGCTATTGTTATCAGGGTGGAAAAAGTTATTTACAATTAACATTGACTGAGTCTTGGTAAAAGTCCAATAACACATAAAGAGACGTATGTCCTAGCTTTCTGAAAGATCAATGAAAATGTTTGAGGTTAGAGATATTTGTAACGGTGGTAATGCTAGTCTCCTACTGTGGCCAAGCATATATAATTGTTTTTGAACCTAATTCAAAATTGAAAGCACCAAAATAGAATTTAGATCTAGAAAAGGGGGCACTATTTCATCCTCCAGAATTAACGATTAACAATTTGGACGCAGAGACACAGCTAGTGGAAGAAAGAAGTTTTGATTGGTGCTCACTTGAGTTGCCTTTTTAAAATCAGAGTTTTGTTTGCGTTGAATCCAAGAACTCCTCGTAAAAACGAGAAAATACATATATCAAAGGAATTAAGTAAAGGTAGATCAAAAATAAATAATCTTACAACTTTTAAAACCTTTTAATGATTTAAAGTAAGGAAGACATGTAACACTGAATGCTAAACAAGTCTTTTGAACTTCTCTTGGGATTTTAGATATATATTTAATAGTATATGTATACATATATATATTTTTTACATTTTGCATGTAGGCCAGAGCTGTCTAAAATATCTCTTCATAGTAGGCTATAGGGATGTATTAGGAGATAGAATAAAATAAGATCTCAGACCACGTTCAGTTTATTAGAGTCTGCTTCGAGGATCAGCAGGGATCATAAATTCGAAGCAAATCGTGGCTTTTCCGCGTCTGCGTCTGTGTGTAAGACTGAGGACTCTCTCTGAAGAGGGGCCGCTGGTGGAGGGGGGGCAGGAGGGACTCCCCGGTTGGGAGGAATGGCTCCCGATGACATCTGTCGGAACAGGGTGACTCTCTGGGGCACAGTGCCCCTGCCGGCTGCCTGCAGGCCCGCGCCGTGGACAGCCGTCACGGGCTGAGGGATGGAGGCTAGGGACTCGCCCACCGTGGGTTGAGGTCTGGAAATGAGGCTGGACAGCTCGTGGGGCAGCGAGGGCTGCGAGGCGGAGAGGGGCCTGACCTCCCGGCTCAGGCTGGTGTTGTGCAGGGCCTGCGTGCTCTTGTGCACGTCGGCCTTAGGCGTGGAGCTGCTGGGCGTCTGAGGCTGCGGGGACTGAGGACGGGGCTGCGGGGGCTGGGGCTGCGGGAGCTGCTGCTGCTGCTGCTGCTGCTGCTGATGCACCAGGGACACCTGGGACGCGGTCGGGGAGGCATAGTGGAAAGTCCGAGCGGCCAGCGGGCTCTGCACCGGCGGGCTGCAGACCGCGGTGGTGTAGGAGCAGGGCGAGAGGACCGCGGCCGGCGGCGGGGTCTGCGTGCTGGGGCTGGGCGAGTGCAGGCTGCTGTGCGGCAGGCTGCCCGCCGAGTACACGGGCGGCGACTGCGTCCGGGCGCGTGAGGTGGGCGTGGCCGCCGCGGAGGCGGAGTTCAGGGCTGTCATCTGCGGGTAGCTGATGGGAGCGATGGCCTGCACCATCTCCCGGTCGTGTTTCACGATCTGCTTCAGGATCTCGTTCTCCTGGTTGTTGAAAACACCAGTGTTAAGATCCTTCTGGAACTTTTGCAGAAGAATTGAATTTTTCTTTCCTGTCAGCGAGAGAAAAACAGGCACTTAGAACCCGCCCAGAGGGACCGGTGGCAACTCTGGGGACAGTGGCTCCTGAAAGCAAGTCCGTCAGTGCCCCGTGGAGGAGGTTCCAGAGCCCAGCACTCACCTGCAGACCCACGTGGAAACGGTGCACCTGCCCTTCCTGCTCCCTCGGCATTCTGGGAAATCTAACTTTCCGTGTGAGTCAGGTAGAAAGGTCTGTTAAGGGGGAAAGAGCCATGCCGCGAAAGGAATGGAGACACTCGGCATGAGGGCTACCCTGAAGAGGGGGGCAGAAAGGGCATTTGCACCAGGATGGGTCTGGCATGAAGACGGAGGTTGAAAGCTTCTTTTTCAAGAAACGGATGGAACTCTTAGGAAGTGACAGGCACCCTACAAGAGGCTGTAGGTAGGGTTATTGTATTCGCCTCTACTCTTTGAAGTAGGTGTGTTTATATCCCATTGTACCAGAAAGGAGACAAAGGCAGGGTAAGAACAATGCCCAAGAAAACGTGGTTCCTAAGTACCAGCTCGGGGAACATGACCGTAGATGCATCCCGGACAACGGACGGGCGCACCTGCGTCCTGGGGATGCTTGTAGGAAATGCAGTCTCCTGGCCTCACCCACGGCTCAGCCACATGCATGTTACTGAGATCCCCAGACACTCACATGCAAGTTGGTGGAATAAAGGACCTTGATTTTGATGGGTGTTTTTCTACCCTACCTGCATATTTTTCTCATCTCTGGAGTTTTAAAACATACTGATTTCCATCTGTACTCTCCCACTTAAGTCAGAATCACCAGATACGGGGTGCATGCAGGCTGTGACACTGTCACCGCCCGTCCCCCCAGGGGGTTGTATGCAGCCAGATGGACCCTGTGTAATATTCCCTTCTGAAAGGCTCCGGGCTCACTGCAGAACCTCCGTTACCAGTTCCTCTCCTTCCTGCCATTGTCCCCGCACCGGTTTGCAATTGGCAGACATTCTCTGGCAGAATAACTATGTGAATAAGTAGTAGCTGGATGAGAATCAGTGACTTTTGATGACGTCAGTCATAAAACAATACCCAGGTGAACATGGTAACTAAAAAGTGAATCAGCTTGCCAAATCACTAAGTCCAAAATCTAAAGTGACAAGAAGTATTTTTTGAATGAAAGTATATGCTAAAGTTTACTTGATATTGGGAAAAGCAATCACTTTTATCCCACCTTATTTTGGATCTGGTTGTAGATTGATGTATAATTGATATTCAAATTCTGTTAGTTTCAAGTTGCTATCATTTTAAATTAATGCCAGGATAGATAGTTACCTATCTCTCTTCGCAGAATTGTCCCAAAGAATAAACACTTCTCAGTTGGCGGTGCATATAAATGCTTATTTAGCATGTTCCCTTAACTAACTGTAGTATACATTTATAATAAATGACCACACAATTGAAAATAATATCTCTTTGAAATCAATAAACTGTCAACATTTCATAACAAAGGTATCTGTGACTTTGTACAAACATACTATAAATTTTAATCCACTGTTAGAATTTTATAAGGATTAAAAATGAAAATGTTTGATGCTTACTAGCAATTCCATTGCCTATCATACAAACTATTTCATGCAGTCTTATAAAAATTGACTGTAATAAATTAGATAATGAAACTGCATCACATAAACAGGTATTGTTATAGAAATATCTTGATTTTCATGCTTTTTCTAAAGATGTGGAGCTAATTTAGGAAAACAATTCATGTTCTCAGAAATTAGTCTCTAGCTCTCCGTGAACATTCACACACCACAATGAAGGAAGTTGTTTTCAAATTAATAAAGATGCTTTGAGGAGTACTCACTCATCTTATGAGCAATACCTCCTAGGGTACTATGTCATGTTCAATGTCTCAGTTGTTAATGTGAATTCCTAATGCATGTGTTAAGCCAAATGGTAATATCCGGGTACCACCTGTATTTCTCCTAACCTAATTTCCAATCCTTATTCAGTCTGTTATCCCACTAATACAGATGGGAGGAAAGATGCAACGTGCAGAAGAAAAGCTCACATATCAAAACATCAATCATAGGTCCTTACCTTTCGTAAGAGTGAAGCAGTTGAAATACCTCTTTGTCTACTTTCAAGTGATCCCAACCCCATCTCCTCTGAGTTCATTGACTCCTCCATCCCTCCCTACCTCTCTTCAATTATATTCACTGTGTACCAGGTACTGTGAATGTAATAATGAATTAGACACGATCTCTACATTTACAAAGCTTAGCATCTCCAGTGCAATTACAATAATGAAAGCAGGCTGTGATGGAAGAACTTCCCAGGGGTGTGGGAAAACATATGGAGGGTACTCAGCCTATTAGGGAGTGGGAGGTCTAAACTGGGATATGAAGGTTAGTCAGGTTAAGTAGAGAGGAGGGGCAGCGCAGGGTAGGGTAGGGAGGAGGATCTGGATGTGGAAAATGAATGCATACCACATTCTCACATCACAATGCTCCAGCATATCTTGGAAAGCTAACTGCAAGCTAATCTGATCTAATTTGACTATGAAAATTATTCAAATCTTTGAACTAGTATAACTAACAAGGCCTAATGTACACATTTTTATTTTAGAGCAGAGAAGATTAAAATAAATGGATGTTTGCAAAGTAAAGCATCTACATAGGACATTTCTAGCAAGGCTTTTTTTCCTTGAGTCTGCATTACAAACATTTCAAGAAGTTTCTACTGAGACAGCTATTTAACACACATTTTCAATTCTTAATATAAGGATAAAATGTAAAGTTGATTCTTAAAAATAAAAAATATCCTTGTGATAACTATGGTTTGTAATGTAGACTCATACATTAGTATTTTTAGTTCTATTTTAATGCTATATAGAATTTTTATTGTTTTTTACCTGAAGATTCAAATTGTTTTGGCATCACAGGGGAAATCAGATTGCGAAGCTAGTGAAAATAGACATGAGTAAATAAACCTAGAACACTTAGAAGAGAAAGATAGAGCCTCAGATCTTTCCAGAAATAGGGCTACAGCTAATTGCTACTTCTATGCTAATTAACAAGCAGCCTATGAACTAGCATCTGGGACTGATGATTGCAAATCTGTATCAGGCCCCTAGATTAAATCCAAATTGTGCACGAAGAAGACAAAGCCAAAGAGAGTACCTATCCGATCTAGTCGGTCAATGGCCACCGTCTCAAAGGCTCGTCTCATCATGGGGTACTCTTCCAGGACCTCGTTGAAATTGTCCACGGAAAGGGAATACAGACGACAGTACGTGTCAGCTCGGACACTAGCGGTGCGACGTCCCTTGGTCAGCAGGCAGATCTCTGCAAAAGCAAGAAAGATTTGTTTGGTCGCTTTTTTTCAAACGCCATTAAAGCCTCCACAAATGAAAAAGTCGCATGGTGTGAGAAACCAATGGCTAACAGCAGTCACTATTTTATCAGCGAATTCCTTTTGACAATTAAAAGCATCCAATTGCCGATACTCAATCTAAAAATAGTCCTCTTTTTTAAACAACTGAAGCACGTGGTTCCAAGGAAAGGCTGAAACGTATTTATCTATTCTCGGGTGTCCAGGCCATTTTCCTTGAAATGACAAAATAGCTGCAGAAAAGGGAATAATAAATCCACAATAGAGTTGAAAACAGGAAGCCACGTTGCTGAGAGGGAAGTTTTTGTGCATTCTGGCAGGCAGAAAGCGAATGGTGTCCTGCAAAAAGAAACCAGAGTGAGCCCGAACCCGGCTGAGAACAAATCCTGGGAAGAAGCAGCGCCGTGTGGGGGCGGCGCAGGCATGCCCTAGGCAGTTCACACGCTCCCGGGGAGACCGGCGGGACGTTTCTGTCCCATGCGCACAGAGGGGCTTTCTATGTAAATAACTTCTAAGGAGGATCCTTCTTTGAACATTCGGATTCCCAATACATGGTAAGCGCACCTTCGCAAATTTGGATTTTCTTATTCGCCAGCTAACTAAATGATAAAAGCAATACATTCATTTTCTAAAACCTATGAATTAAAATTCTTGCGGACTGTCATTTTTAAAAGAAAATTAAAAATCATTTAAAATTTTAGTTTCAAAACAACCAATTTGAATTAAATCATTGAACCAAATATTGTACCGAATGAGTCTCGATCACCTATGTAAACAATAAAGGCTCAATAAGGCCTTACACTGACCAAGTCCTCTCAGAAGTTAGAAAGGGCTGAGTTCATTACCATTACAACACTCTTCAGCCATTATTTCTCAGCATCTCCTCCATAATTCCTCAGTGAGAAAGAACAAAGACAGAAGATATAGTCCTGAGAGTAGAAAGAGCCACTAGTCAGTGTGAAAATCACTTTGCACAGTCCCTTCTCCTTTAAAAAGCCCCACAGTCCTTGTTTCCACTGTAAAGAACAGAATTAAGAAATGCCACCTATTTGGAAATTTTAAAAAGTAAACCTTCTGATTATAAATTGATGAGATTTGATTTTGGGAACTTAATTTCTGGAGTCCATAGAATGGAACAGGTGCTTCTGTGAGAATTTTCTCTCCACACTGTTTTGGAGATGCACTTACTGAGTGAAGAGTCCTGTGTTAGGGGTATGGAGAGCGTGAGCTTCTGCGTATTCACTCTGTGTGTGGTGGGCCCATGTATGTGTGTGTGTAAAGGAGGAAGACAGCAAAACCAACTCAGTCATCGGTATTGCACACTAGCCTTTAGGCTTCTTAGAAATTATATGCATGTTAGTTCGCCACTACTTTTCTTCTCTTACACTGGATTTTGTAATTGTTTCCTAAACACTGGCCCTCTGACCTCACTGGTTGAAGACATTTTAAAGATAGCTACCCTACAGTAACATTTTTGTGCCCATTCCACTTTGCGTTTTGAGCTCAGAGACAGTTATTTTTAAATGTTTATGAGTACATCCACGATGGTGGACAAACCCAAAGCCCCTGCTAAGTTCCAGTCTTCAGTTTCATGTGATAAAATATTGGATGCCCTGCTGAGTATCTTCCCTTCGTAATCAAACTGCCAAATGCTGTCTGTACCTGCTCTAAGCACGTCTTCGAGGGTTCTGTGCAATGTCTGTGATGGGAGAAGTTTCTAGAAGGTTGGGTACTATTTTCTCTAATGTAGATGAGTCCTTAGTCATCAGGTAAGAAGGTAGCTTTTGTGGGTGCTCACATTACTTCACCAAAAAGTAAAATAAAATACAAAATAAAATGAAATTGAACTTGCAGAGAACAAGCCGAACGCAGCCTACAGATTCAAGTGTTTTAAAGTCTCCCGGCATACTTTGGACATCCTGTTGGTTGTTTCAATACTTCTGCTTTGTCCTCGCTTGTTAACTCTCTGAGAACTCAACTAGGAGTCTCTCAGGGCTGTGATCACTACTTTAAGATTCTTCATGCAAAGTTACATAGAAATAGGTTAATTTATCTCGATACAAATTGGTAAATTATAATCACATGTGAAAGTCATGAGGCTTTGCATGTTAATTTTCATTCTGTAGGGTTCTCCTATTTTTCTTTACAAGATAAGTTACTGCCTTTACAGGGTAAGTTATCTCACTTCCCCAGGAGGAAACTGACTCCTCACCTCAGACACCTGAGAAACCTGTTTCCAGTTTCAACATCATAAGGTACGTGTCCAGGAGACTAAATTCAGCCTAACACACTGTGTGAATACTTAGTTTCTTAAGGTACGAGATAGATCAACTATCCAGTGCTGTCTTTGTTGACATTAGTTACCCTGATTCTAGACATTTCTTCCTCTTGAGATTACTGCCACCTACTTGAATAGTCATTTCAGACAGCAGGGAAAGTAGCCTTAAGAATTTTGGGACAACATTTCCTGGGCCTCTAAGACAGAGGTTGGCACTGCAGTAACACAGAGCTAATCATAAACTTCCAGCAGATGTTTGTAAGGTAACGAATTGAACCCGAGTTTCTGGAATTTGTGGGAAAATCTATACTTCGACTGCTCATAGTAACCTAGGCAACACTGCTTCCTTCTTTTATACCTGATATCATGAAATAATAGTACCTCTCTCATACGTCGAAATACTTATTTCCCCCAAATTACTCAGGTTTCTAGCCCAGTGTCTTATAACAATGTGCAAGAAGAAATATAAGTGTTAGGTTTTCTTTTTTATATTTGCATTTGTGATCCATACTGGTACTAGTGAGCCAGTGAGGCAGTATCTCTTATGGTGCAGGAGATGGCAACATCTGGCTGAACATCTGTGTAACAAGCTTGGCTAGAAGAAACATGTTAAGTGTCAAATGGATTTGAGTAAAGAGCTAAAAAAACTAAAGTAGAATAAAACATTAAATAGATGTAAGTTTTGTAGTATTTGACATATTTTAAAATATTTTATATTTTTGTAATTTTTTGAAACATTGTGTATAACTTACTTTTAAATATAGATATAAAGGAATAATTATGTGTACCCAGATTATATATCATGAGACATATTCTAAAAAATAACATATCTTTTACTTTTTCCTAAAGATATAATCAATCATTTCAATTCCTATAGACACAGTCAAACTTGTGCAAAATTAGTGTCCTCTCCTACTGCCCGTCCTGTTATTTAAGATTATTAAGATCATCTAAAGTTACTGCCTTGTCAGACACACATTAACTCTCCTTGTATATTTGGTCACTTTATCTGTCCTAAAACAGAGGATGAGGGTGGTCACTGGGGCTCTGAGTACTGGCCTGGTGGTGGCACCTCAGACAAGCGATGGATCAGCCAAGTTGTAATGAGGATGAACCAAACCAGCGCCCGGTAGAAACCCAGCACAGTGTGGGCACTCGCTCCTCAACCAGGAGTCCCCTTCTTTTATTCCTTACATTCCTTCTCTCTGTGTTTTCCCTGTGACTTTGGCTTTACCTGCTAAGAATCAAGAAAAAAGTAATGCTTCATATATCAAGTAACCCTCCAAATTTGTGAAATATATATCCTCTCTCACTCCCTCCACCCTCTTGTAAACAATTTGTTCATAAAGCAACCGTACCAATTCACTGGACTTGTCTCAAGTACGATGGCTTCACACCCATGCACATCCTTTCTTATGTAACCCGGGAAGAATTTCTCTTTGTGTCTCTTTGTGACCTTCCCTGTCTTGCATTTCAGCCTTTACAGCACTTTATTGGACTTGTTTTTACCGTATTTCTCTACTCTCAGCTGTAAGGTCTTTAATGGAAAGGGCAACAATCCCACCTGCAGTATCTAGCACCTGCCACAGGTGTAGTCCCACAGTATCACTTGGTTTAAGGAAAAAGGAGTCAATGAAACAATCGACAATGAACAGTAGAGTGACTTATATCAGAATGGAAACATTATTCAGAAAACAAGGTGCTCACATTTGCATACAACATTCCAAGTGATCATATCTTTGTGAGAAGTCTGGGTCCATCTACCAGAAATTACATTGCTCTTATCTTTTCTAGATTATAAACAGGTTTATGACATGAATACTTTATATTATTGGATATGTATATGTTCCATTAAGATTTATATTTTCTACACCTTAACCTCTCATCCCTTCCCCTTCCTTAGGATGTCTGTCTTAAAATTCCACTATGATTTTAATGATGTCTGCATAAAGTCAGCTTTCCTCAACATGACTTATGTATTTATTTAACTCCTGAGCTATTTATTTATTTATTTTTAATAAATTTCTGGTGTTTTATTTTATTTTATTTTTTAAAGATTTTATTTATTTATCTTTAGAGGGGAAGGGAAGGAGAGAGGGAGAGAAACATCAATGTATGGTTGCCTTTCGTGCGTCCCCTGCTGGGAACTGGCCTGCAGAGAACCGGTCTGCAACCCAGGCATGTGCCCTGACTGGGAATTGAACCGCGATTGTCTGGTTCACAGGCCCGCGCTCAATCCACCGAGCTACACCAGCCAGGGCTCAACATGATTTATAAACTGGTGTCTACTATATATTTACATTGCTTGTCCTTGGCAAGTTAAAGCACCCGATGGACTATCCCAGTTATTCTCAGAATATCTATTGAGTGAGTAGGACACAGTCATTGCTAGCCCCGTGTTGGTCATGTGACAAATAGAAGATTAAAGAGGACCTGTTATGCGGCTGTAACAAAAACATCAAAGCTATGTGGGCTAAAAACTCAATTTTTCTGCTTCTATCCATCTTTAAAAATCCACCAGACCCCTACAAACCTTTACTTTTGATTTTAAATCTACCAACACTCAACTCTTTAAACGTTAATCAAATACCTTTAATTATAAATGCCTTTAAAAAGCAGCCAGCTTTTAAAAATTCATCAAATGATTTCAACTCTTAAATACTTCTAGTGTGTTTT